ACAATTTAGGTATCTCACCAATTAATCTGGGTCCTGCCAAACTTCAAAAATCTAGCCACATATTCGTACATTTCACAATTTAAACCCGCTACTGCAGGAATACAATAATTTAAACATACAGTTATAACTATCTTAAACATAATATTTCAGATAATATATTCTTCAGTATAGAAACTGAGAATTTTGTTAATATTATACTTTTTCTTAAAACTAATATAGCAGAAAAATTTAACAATCTTAATATTTACTCATTTTTAAGAAAAAATAAAAGAGGTTTATTAAATGGGTTTGGATCAGTTCTTAAAGCTATTACCGAAAATCTAGACTCCCAAGATAAAGAAAGAATAAATTCAATTTTAGAACATTTATAAGAAAATCAAACTAATTTACAGAATCAATTAAAAATGCAACATTCTATCAGTAGCCAGGTAATAGATAATTCTAATCAAACAATTCAAGTTAACCAAAAAAAATGAAATTAATCTTAAATCTAAAATACTAGAAATTAAAGACATTGTAGATTTTCAAGCAAAATTTGAAAATGTAATTTACTTAAAAGACTTATTTAACGAATGATTCATAATTTATAATTTAATCTTGGACATAATGGAAAAAGTAGAAAATTTCACAACCTTTTGTAAACTGAAAACCATTTACCCTAGTATCATAAAATGACATGAGCTATTTTTAGAATTAAAAAAAGATTTCTTCTCATTATCAATTTCAGCTACCATTAGAAGTAAAACATGAAAATATTATAATCTTAGAGGTTAACTGTAAATTAGAAAAAAATAAAATACAATATTTTATATCAATTCCTATTAATTTTGAAATATATTATTTACTGCCCATTCCCACCAAATTTGTTATAATAATGTCAAATACAAAATATATATTAAAATCCGAAAACCAAATAAAGCCTGTAAACGATATTTGCACAAGCGGTAAAAAATTCTAATGTCCTAGCCATTTACAAAATAATAATGAACAATTATGGTAAAAAGAAATTTTACTAAAAGGAAATTCTAGCCAATTTCAATATCTTAAGGTAGATATTTCTAAAAATCATAAAGACATACTAAAAACAAATCAACTTTAGGCAATATTTCATCAAGAAGAAAAATTATCAATACAATGCTTGGCAAGGAATTGAAATTAAAATCCTATCTGGAGTATTCATCATGTAAAAAAATATTTAAAAATCACGAATTAGCCTTTCAAGAAAAATAATTTGGACAACCGATTATAATAAACAAACCAAAATTGTATTTTTCTAAAATATATCTGTTGCCAATGAAATTAAATATAAAAAGTTTAAAACTGAAAGAAATCAGTTCAAATGGATCAATACCTATAATAAACGAATTTAAGTATCATATTCCCAGTGAATGGACAATTATTCTTTACGTTGGAGTAGCAGTAACAATTATTTTTATCATTCATAAGAAGATGCCTGAAAGAAGAAGGAAAAATCCGCACCAGCACCAACCCCTAAAGAGGGACACATTCGACTTCCACTAGAAGCCTCATTTTGACAAGGAGAGAGTTATAGAGTTAATAACCCTGAGTCAGCAACCTCGTGGATGAACTTCGGAACTTCTGACTAATCTAATGATTAGAATAGTTTGTGTTATTCCACCTTAGGTATAATGCCGATTGCATTATATTTCGTTTTATTATATCCAGTTTAGAATCTGTTCTCCTTAAGTAAAGTTGTACTTTAAGGGTGAGAAAACAGAACGTCTGCAACTTTGCAGATCTACAAATATGGCGGCAACTTTGAAAATCTGCAAATATGACTGACTTACATATGCAAGTATCAAGTTTTCGTATTCCAAATTTGGGTTTAGTGTTGTTGGGGGTAATAAACCACAATAAATATTGCGAATTTGCAGATATTTTTTGGAATACTTGCATTTGTAAGTCCGCCATATTTGCAGATCTGCAAAGTTGCAGACGTTCTGTAATCTCACCCTAAATAAATAAAATAAAAACTGAATACACAGTGTACTTAGTTAAGTTTCAAAAAATATGAAAAATTAAAAAAATAATAACTAATTCACCTACCCAGCAAACATTTTGGTGTAATTTGACGTCGATACTACCTAAATTATATATAATAAATTTGGTCGCAAAATTAGATTTAACCATAATTAAGTAAAATTTACGTTGGCTCGATGTGGATTCGACATAAGTGGAGAATAAGGCGACGTCGAAATTTGGTTTTATTTACCAAAATAGGTAGAATTACATCTAAATCCACATTGTAGTAGCCCAGTACGTTTGGTTAGTAATACCTCTCTAGGGAAATTTGACGTCAGTATAACGTTAATTCGACGTTGATTTAACTAAGTTTAGGTAGAAACTACCAAAATATTTGCAGATGACGTATGACTCCAAGTGTACGAAAAGAAATTTTATACTTATTTGGTATTTTTATCTATATATAAGTAGAAATATTGTAAGAAGTCACCAACACAACTAAAACATATACCTAATTCACATGGAAGATTGAAAATAAATAAATGTCGGTGACAAAAATATATGTAATGTAATTGCGGTGAATATACAGTTCACGCTTGTTGAAATTAATGCGAAGAAAATTTTGTCGTGCATGTTAACAGTTCTACTTAGAAAAATAACAATGCCCTTCCAAAATATTCTCTAATTAAAAAAATATAGGAAAAAAATATGATCGTGTAAAAAAATAATAATAATATTATGCGCTAAAACTATGTTACGTTTGTTGTGTATCACTTTAGAAAATCAATAATGTTTCGTTTTTCGGTATTTTTATTCGTAAGTTCTAGTTATGGTCATTTTAAAAATTTAAAATATGGAATCGTACTTCAATTACGTTAAGAAAATATGGCGTATTGGTGCGTATTCAACCTAAAAGTTATTATGACTAAGGAAATCTATGTATTTTATAAATACCTTTTTATTAAGTTGAATTAACTTCAATTTCACGACATATTAGTTAACTTTACCTATTGAAAGAAATAATAACTTATAGGTTTTATAAAAAAATTACCTATAGGTAAATATAACATATTAAGGTCACGTTGTTCTGCACTTGAGATTTTAGACGTTTCACTTTACGATAAAAATCGGAAGTATAACGATATGATTTATTATTTTTCGAACTAATTTTATTAATTATTTTTCGCACTTATTTAAAGCTCTATCTACACCACACGTAAATTAAGATTACGACTGTAATGTTTTTTTTTAAATGGCCGAAATTCTTAAGAATAATGACGAAGACAGTAACTGAACAACCTAATTGTTAAAATAACCTAAATAATATAAATTTTACAAATAGGTCATGTATGACTCTTTTTAAATTGGTGGTTTTTAGTCGAATTTACTTTGTGGTAGATTTTTTAGGTAATTGCTACAACAAAGTTAATAAATGTTTCTTCAAGATGACTTATAGGTCAACTAAATGAGTATTCGACTATTTGGTTGAAATTAGGTAGATAAACAGGTAGAATTTTGCTACGATCTCGACCTAATATTACTTTAAAGGAGAGTAAATAAAAGCGGTCAAATAGGTTACTATGGAGGCATAAAATTACGTAGAATTTTTAACCAAATCTACCTAGTTAAATATTCTACTATAAAGACGATTTTTAGTTGCCAAACAGGTAGATATTACCTAAATATGGCACCTAATTTTACTACAAAGGAAATTTAACTTTGAAGTAATTGTTGGTTATTTTTTTAAGTAGTTTTTCCCTTGCTGATATGGTTAAAGTAACTTTTAAGCAGATTTGTGTAAAAGGTAGATTTCTTGGTATAATTTACGTAAATTTAAATATAAATTAAAACCGTTTGGTAAATTTACATTAGAGGTATATTTTTCTAGTCAATTTTACGTAATAATTACCTCAATAAGTAAATTCGTCTTTAACAAAGTCGAGTTATAACTAATGTTATAAAAAATGTTTGCTGGGTAACCTGTGCAATCTGGAGTAGCCACAGCTTGCTTCTAAAAAAAAAATATATATATAAAATAGGAAAAATTAGACAAATTTTTACTAATTATCCTAACCTGTGCGGCGTGGAATCATCGCGAGTTGCTTCGCGAAAAAATTATAGGTAAAATGAGAAAATAAAAAACCGACAAAAGTATTTTCAAGCCAAGATTTTTAGTAAAATAGTGTTTTCGAACTAGAGTTGTTCAAATTAGCGTATTTTCAAACTCAGGGTTTTCAAACAAAATTCCGCCAACCCTCACTGGCGCCTGGCCAGTAAACCTCGATCCCAACTTTTAACGAACCTGTCTTTGTCGCGTGCATCTAATAATAAGAAAATATACAATAAGAAGACGAAGCAACGACTTCTTGTAGGGTAGCGGCTTCGCCACCACCAGAAAACTTTTAACCAATACCTCTACACCGACCGGCATAGACTCCAACGGCCTGGACACAGCTCAAATTAAAAAAAGAAAATATTTTTTACAAACAGTACATAACTTTTGACATGCCGTAATTAACGAACATCATGAAATATAATAAAAAGACGGATGTCTGTAAATACTACAATTTTTTTCACTTGGAGATTCACGTGCCGGCCAGACGGTATGCTATGTAATTTTTCGTCTACGCTGTATGGCCTGGAGCCATTTCCAAACAGCCAAATTTTATTAACCGAACTATTTCCTGTCGTATACGTTTTCTTACTCGATTTGGCAACATCGCATATAAAGAAACTAGAAACGTCAATTGTCATTGGGAATAATTTACTGTCTATTTGTTTTTCTCACAAACTTAAAAATTTAATCGTTTATAAAAAAATTTGGTATGTTTTTTTGCTCTATGAATTGTCTACAACAAGAAATCAGTGAAAATGGTTTATTTTACATTTGTTTCATGATGAAGACCCGAAAACAAACAAAGCGCACCCAAAATTGTTATGTATAGTGTGTTTCAAAGTGTCTAGTAAAGTTTTGTCCTTTCTTCAATCAAAATACTTCCTATTCTTCTGTTATCACTTTAAAACTTCTTTCTTGCGGTATTTCTAGATTTCTTTCGCTCTCTTCTTACTTCATTTTGGTCAAATTTTTTCGACGAATCTGTGGTAATTATTCCTACATCATTTAATACTCCACTAGCAATTGCAGCAGCTGATCGATCAGATATACCATATTTAACACATACAAGATCTAACGTAGGTATCTTTGTTCTTATTTGAGTGTTTTTTAAGAGTAAGTTTGGATTGATAAAGTCATCATCTGAAGAAAATAGATATTGTGAGGGGTCAGATCCTGACCCTGACAATAATGTAGTAGAGGAACAGCCGGATTCTGATTCTAATTCATGTATTTTTAATCTTTCAATTTCTCTGGATTGCCTTTGTTTATTCGACAATATTTTATTTGTTTCCTCACGATCTACATTTCTTATGCTCATTTTTCTGACGGATCATGATAAGAAAGAAAATTTTGTACCTTAGTAGGTACTTTCCGGGTCTTTTCACATATGCATGCAGAAAAATCGCATTTACAAGTATCTATGTCAAGTAATTTTACTCCATTTTAAAAGTATATTGTTTTATACCTAACAACTTACTTATTTTTTATTTATTGATATTTATAGATAATATGTATTCGAAATAATAAATAATGGTTATGACGTAGCGGTGTTCTTCTAATTTTAATCGGACCGTGCCTATTTAAATAGAATACAGTTTTAGGTGATTTGACATTGAGAAGATATAATGTTTAAAAAATAGGTACTATTTTATGTAAGGGTGGGAATGAAAAGTTAAAAAAAATGTAAATTAAAGGGCGCTTTTATATTTGGAATCAGTTGGGTAACAATTCTACTAAAAATCTGGATTTCAATTTTATCATGACGAAAGTAAATTTTTTTGTCTATATAAAATATCTGAGGGGGCGTTAGAGTAAAATGTATTTCTAAAATTTACAAAAAAGTAACAACTAGTGTTTATGGTTAAACACAGCTTTTATTGGGTATGGCTAATTAAAATTTTATTTTATTTTTAGCTATTAGAGTGCCGAAAATATAATTTTAAAATTGTGAAAAAAATTACAAGCAGATTTTAAATGCCATAGCCAATTAAAATTTTAACTTTTATTTTGTGCAGCTTTCGTGCAACCAGCGATCATAATATGAGTCAGTTAATCCAATTTTCTTCCTGCTTGGTGACCCTGTAATCCTCTTTTTACCCCGCATATTCGTTTTTATAATCTAATGCGTCTTCAGTCTCATCCTCCTCCTCCTCCTTCTCCTCCTTCTCCTCCTTCTCCTCCTTCTCCTCCTACTACTACTACAGTGTTAAAATAAGATGCGCGTTTGCGGTTTTCTTTAGCCTTAACAGTATTTTTTCCCGTTTTTTGTAACTTCTTTAAATGAACATCAATTTCTCTCTCTGCCTCTTCACCAAGGCATCAATCTGGTCTCAATAATCTATTACCCTTTTTGAAAATTATTGACCCTGATTTTATGTATTAATGTAGTTTTAGGAATACTGAAGGTCTGCTATGCTTCAATAATTCCCATTTCAGCCGCATTTACTACTCGAACTGCTTCTGCCTGAGGGCATTCGCCTCTGGTATGAGCCTCTTGTTTTCTTGATGTCCTACAGCTCCATCATTTATAAATATGCCTGAAACAACTACTCTCTTGGTTTTTCTGGCAGGCTTACGTTTTTATACAAATCCACATTGTTGTCTCTATATTCTCTATTCTATGCGATTCTTCTTTACATACCTTTATTTTTATTTTCTCCTTATATCCCAAGGACCTAAGAAGTTGTAGTTACTCTTGGTTTGTTTTCCCTCTGCAATAAACATAATTATTCTATATCTAGGTTTTTTTGGCTGAGTTCCAATTTTCACCCTTTCACTTAATTTATTTTATTTTGGTAAACCTAGTTCTCTTATTTTGACCCACTGGTTTTGCTTCTCAAATCTTTTTTACTAAGTTAATACCCAAACCATTAACAATGTTTTTTAATAACTATAAGCTACAATTTTGGTTTGAATTTTGACCTGTAAACACGTATTTAGTGTCTCTCGATACAGTTAAATGAAATTGTATATTATTGTTTGTGTTTTACAATTATTACCAAATTGAAAAAGTAAAATATTGTGAGTACAGATTAATTTAATACTATTTTATTGATTATTAGTCAATGAAAAACAGATTAGATATTGTTGATGTGGAATACCGGCAATAAAAACTGGTAAGATAACTAAAGCTTTGTTTTAATAGACAGCTTCATCTGATTAACTCTGGAGAAGTAAAATATAATTGGGCTGCTCAAGTTAGACACTTATTTAAATTAATTGACCATGTAGACATATTGAATAATCTTGATGCTAATAACCTAAAACTAAACAAAAACAAGTTACTAACTGCTTATTACAATAAACTTTATAATTATGATATTATAGGAATTACACGCTGTCAGTTTTTGTCCTTATATACAGCTTTTTTCCCTGATAAAATTCCCCAAAAATATTTACTTCTAAAACTGCCCATACAAGTTACACGAACACTTTCACAACTCCGATTAACTAATAAATTTCGGTTAAAATTTACACTTAATAATAATATATATTTAGCAATTTCTAATTATGACCTATAATTAGGAATTAGTCAAATGCAGACCGATGAAATGGAATAAGACTTATATAAAAAGATATATGACTCTGACAAAAACGTCTGACAAATCTATTTTTTTTTATTCTCTCTATCAAACATATTACAAAATTCATGGCAACAACAACAATACAAAATACAACAATATTTAACATACTCCCACCAAACAAACATTAAAACCTGGTAGGTTTTTTACTCTTCCTTCCATATCTTGTAAAAACATCTGTTGTAGTTTGTGATGGCTTTTCTTCTGTCCTCTTTTTTCTTGCGACTTCTTGTATTTGCGATTTATTCTCATTTTCATCCATCTCTAACCTGAATATTCTCTGTATGGGTCTAATTACGTATCCGTCTTTAGTTTTTAATCCAACTACTCTAACGTTTCCATCTTTTCCAAGAAAAACCTGTTCTACCAAGGCTAGTGGCCAGTCTAATCTTTTGGAACCCTCAGTTTCTAAAAAAACTAAGTCACCTACCTTTACGTTATCGAAATGTTGTTTCCGTTTTCTAAGAATCAGTTGACTGATATATTCCTGCCTAAATCTTTTTTTTAAATCCTCTCTCAGTTTCAATCTGTACCTACATCTTCTTCTAAGATACACTGAATCTATCTTATCTAAGTCCGGAACACCAGTTTGGATTATCTCTTGCAAGAAGAACGAAGGCGTTATCGGAACTAAATCAGAAGAGTCCTCTGACAAATAGGTCAACGGTCGGGAATTCACCACAGATTCACAATCACACAATACAGAATAAAATTCTTCATAAGTTAAACAGGCTTTACCTAGTACTTTACGAAGCAATTGTTTAATAATCCTTATCAATCGCTCCCACCAGCCACCCCACCAGGGTGCACTGACTACATTGAGCTTCCAAGAAATTTGATGAATACCTAAAGAGTTTATAATTTGTTCCCAGTCTAAAGATTCTAATGCATTTTTAGCACCTACAAAATTAGTTCCATTATCAGAATATACAATAGAAGGTCGACCTCTTCTAGCGATAAAGCGACGGAAAGCCAAAAGAAAACTATCTGTTGAAAGGTTCGACACAATTTCCAAATGAATTGCTCTATAAATAGCACAGGTGAAGATACAAACCCAGACTTTTTCCCTATTTTTTAAAAACATATGTCCAAAAAGATCAATCCCTATCACCTCAAAAACTGCGGCATCCTTTACTCTATTTCTGGGCAGGGTAACAGGAATTGCTTCGCATGGCCTTGACTCGTGTCTACGACAAACTACACATTTACGAATCACAGATTTTACCGTTTTCCTTCCTCCGATTATCCAAAATTTTTCTCTTAAATTTGACAACAGAATTTGAACGCCAGCATGACATGAACCAACATGTGTGTCAAATATGAGTCGAAAAGTTAAAGGATGTTTCGCAGGTAGAATAATAGGATATCTAAATTCAAATAGATCGTCTCTCTCAGTTATCTTTGTCTTAACTCTCAGTATACCATCTTCATCTCGAATCAGGGCCAGACTACCAATATCTTCTTCATTGTGGAAACACTCTTGTTGAATAGATTTAATTAAAGTCAATTCTGCATGTTCCATTTCTGTTGACAAAAGATATTTGGAGTCACGTTTCCCTTGATGTTTTAGATTAAAAATGAAGCGGAATACCCATGCTACTAAACGGATAATTTTATTGTATTTACTAAAATAGTTAAAACACCAAGACATATCAATCTTAGGTTGAACCAATAGAGAGGTTACTACCTTTCTACATTCTGCTTGTACAAGATGTTCTTCTACTACGAACTGTTGTGAAGGCCATTTTAAACGATCTTCATACAACCAGCCAGGTCCCTCCCACCACTTTGAAAGTAGCAACTGTGTTGCTGAACATCCCCTCGTTATTAAATCTGCAGGATTCAATGTACTGGGGACATGATACCAGGAATCCTTATTGGTTAACTTTCGTATTTCCTGTACTCGATTATGTACAAAAGGTTTCCATTTATTGGTATCATTTATCCAAGCCAACACTGTCGAGGAATCGGTCCAGAAATATGATTCTATTGTTTTATTTAAATCGTTTACAATAGATGACCATAATCTTGATGCTATAGTAGCCCCTAACAACTCAAGACGTGGTATAGAATTGTTCTTCTTAAGAGGAGTAAGTCTTGATTTTGATTGTACGAATCGAACAGTTACGTCAACATCGGACTCTACCCTTAAAAAGACGACACATGAATAAGCATCTTTACTAGCATCGCAGAAAACGTGAAGACTAAGATTCTTTAATTTAACATATTCATGACTAAGCCACCTAGGAATAATGACATTAGCTAAGTCAGATAGCTGCTTAAGCCATTTTAAAAATGTAGCTTTCATATCTTCATGAACCTCTTCGTCCCAACCTATTTTCATGACCCATGTCTTTTGTAACAATAGTTTTGGGATTAAAAGTACTGGTACGGTGAATCCTAAAGGATCAAAAACTTTATTTACGATGGATAATATGTATCTCTTTGTAATTAAATCCTGACTCAAAATTTGATCATCCCTTAAACATATACTTAATGTATCATAAAATCTATCCCATTCAAGTCCCAATATCGGAGTTGATTTAATTGGCTTGGGACTAATATCATCCAGGATAGTGTATTCCCAAAGTCGAAGATCAAATTTGGCATCTTCCATTACCTCTTGAGACTCTTTAATGAAGTTTCGCAGTTCTTTTTCAGAATCAACACTAGTAACACAATTATCTACATAAAAACTGCGTAATAACTTAGAAATTGTGTTACTATATCTATTTTC